ACCTTCGTCATTGATAAAAGTAAACAAACATTGCCTTAAAGTTTGAGAAATCATGATATTGGTTTTGAAAAGGATGTTAACTTACTTCGAGAATTATCAATGGTCACCCCCTGAGTATTTCGCGGAAGATACACTATTAATTCATTGATAAATGAACATTGCTTATTATTTTAAAATCATATTGCAACCACACAATTATTTTAAGGACATAATTATACTATGTGAGCTAATTAAGGTTTTCTCTAACCTAAAGTGCCCTAAAAGACTAAATCTAAAAACGAAGTCTCTAATATTAAATCTAGTTTATTTTAACCAATTATTGAATCAAGTAATCGAAATGGTCCCTCGGGCATTTTAATGTAAGGACCAATTCAAATTACTCCCTAAATTAAAGGACTAAAGTGAAATCTATCATAAAATGGAGGCTCTAATTAATAATCTAATTATTTACGTAAAATGAATATCTAATTAAAGAGTTCAAGGACTAAATAGTGAAAAGTCTAAAGTTAAGGATCTAATTATTATCCTAATTAATTATTTATCAATTATTGAAATGAGTAATCAATATGGTCCCTCAAGCATTTTAATACGAGTACCAATTCAAGTTACTTCCTAAATTAAAGGACTAAAGTGTGAGAAATCTAAACCTAAGGCTAAAGTTAAAGCCTATAATTCTAACTATAGATTAAATTAAGAAGAACCTAAATTAAAGGTTAACCCTAAAATCTAATAAATTAAAGAAAGAATTAAGTTTAAAGAAAAGAAATTAGAAGTAATTAAAACTAATAAAAAAAGCATGCATAAATAAATAAAAGTTTAAATGTGTTAAAATAAAAAAAATTAATAAAAAAACTCATTAACAATTTAAAAATTATAAGGTGGTTTATTAAAATAATATTAGGGTTAATTAACAAAATTATTAATATAGTGATTAAATTAAAACTTACAAAAATGTTTAGGGATTGAATTCTAAATTAATTATACAAGTTCTAACAATAGTGATTAAATTGAAGTAAAGGTAAATTAACATGCAAAATTGAAATTATGACAATGACCTAAATGTAAATACACGGTAAATCTCATAGCACCTAAACGTGATTATTTGAATTTTATAAGTCTTATATAACTAATAAACAAAACCGGAAAATTGCTTAATCAGGACAAACTAAATTAAATTAAAGTCAAAACGATCAAACATGTGACTAATATGTAAATGTGCTGCAAATGTGTGAGGACTAATTGCAAATTTACCCTAATTAATTTACATAAATACCTACTTATAGTTTAGTGAACCCTAAATCTAAACTAATCTTCCTCACCCGCCTCCCTTCTCTTATGTTTCCCTCACCCTCTATTCTTCATCTTGACCGGCGCCACTCACAGAGACCCACACGACACCACTGACCCCCATCAACGATGACTGATTTACCGCCGAACACCCCAAAATGAATCAAAATCGAACCAAAGGCCACCGAAACTCTCGATACTTAGTCTCCCTCGAACTCCGACCATTGCCGTTCAAATGCAGTTAACGATGAAGATTCAACTCCGGCCACCATTTAAGACCCTAAACGACGCCTAATCTAACCTAAACCTCAGCCTCTTTCCTCTAGCTTCTTCTTGCTCTTCAACCGAGAGACTAAACACCACTGAACTCCGTTTTACACCAACTTTACCGAGCCCTGAACCCCACCAGCGGTGGTCGAAATCGTCTAGATCTAACCAAGTTCACCTAAATCGATCTACCCTTGCTAAACTCTCAACAAACAACCCTAAACCAACACACAATCCTATCTAAAAGGACATCGATCAGGGTTTCAAATAGCAGTATCGCAACTATTATATCGCGGTCACGGCGATGTCTGAAATCGCAATCGTTGAAAATAACGGTGTGAAGTGGGATCACACCAATAGCGGCGGATCACGGTTGCAATTTAACGGATCGCGGTCAATCGCGGCAATAGCAGACCGCTATTCCGCTATTATTCAGTTATTTTATTTTTTTTAAAAATAGGTTTTTTTATTAAAAAAATCAGCTCTTTCAAAAAAAAAATTCACGATCGCGATATCGGCAATGACCGCAATAACATCCGTTATATTTACAACCGTGGTAAAAGCGACACGACCGAAAACGTGACAGCAAACGTTAATTAAAACCCTGGCATCGACCGCGCGTTTCCCTTTTCGGCGACAATCTCTACTCTCGGATACGGTAATGAACTAACCCCCTATTCCTCTTTGTTCAGTTTATTTCGAATGAATGCCAAAAAATGGTAACTGCTTAGCACTTTCGAATGGAAGGGAAAAAATGCTTGATGCTTGATTTCTGGGGGAAGAAAAGGAAAATGATGGACAAGGCTTCGTATTGCTCCTCGTGTATTTGAAAAATGGGTGGGGAAGACATCTTTACATCGCTCCATATTTTGGGTTCTATACCCATTAGAAATCGATCAAAAACCAACAAACGAAATTACAATTCTTTACTTTTTTTTATTTTTTGCATGCTGGATTTGCTGATCTGGAGATCCGGTTGATGATCGAAGTCACAATGTTGGGTCAAGCTTTCTGTTGGGCTTTGATATGTGGGTTCATATCGGGTTTGGGACTTGTAAGATTAGGCTTTGGTAACATGGGCCACGGGATGGATTGTAATGGGTTAAGGGTCACTGGTTCAAATTTGTATTGTAATTTTGGGATGGGGAATTGGATCGACTTTGGACATGTAAATGGGTTTGAAAGAAATGGGTATTGGGTTACTTCGGGTTTTGTAAATGTTTGTACGTTTCTGTTCTTAACTGCATGGTTTTAGGATCCTCGAAAGCCCAATAGTCTATACTCCAAACACCAATAATTGTATACTTAAGACCACACTCGATTTGTGTCTTCCATCAATGGCAATCCCAAAATTTGACAGAGCAAATTGAGCCCAAGCATATTTGCGATCTCATTAAGTTAGTATGAACCCAACTGTTGAACGTAACGAGTCCCCGATCAATATTTCCACCCGTGTTGCTTGAACTAAATAACAATCGATGTAGACGACTTCAAATAATTCTTTTGATTGTTTTCAACTCGACTTGAAATGTTCGGGCAAAATTAGGGTATTACACATGTATACATAGAATCATAGCACATTAATGATTCATACATATAATATACTTATGACCAACAAAATAATGATCACTTATACATGCCATTACTAATATGAATTGTTAAATATAAGGTTTACATATTCAAACATAGGTGCATCTAGAAATGTCTAATTTTAGCCCAAATCAACCACTTTCTAACTAAAACAGCCTTTCATACCCACGAAAATTAGCTCAAAACCCCAACCATTGAATCAATTATACTTATTTAACTGTGCATCCTTTAAAAACACCTTTCCTTCCTCACATTTCACTAACATTTAGGCTTGTAAACGAACCGAACGCACACGAACGGAGGTATGTTCATGTTCGTTCATTTAATAAATAAATGAACATAAACGAACACGAACATAAACGAACAAATTTTTTTTTGTTCATGTTCGTTCATTTAATAAATAAACGAACATAAACGCGCACGAACATAAACGAACACGAACATAAATGAACACGAACATAAACGTTGGAGACCCTACCTAGGGGTGTAAACGAGCCGAGTCGAGTTCGAGTATTGCTGAGCTCGACTCGAACTCAAAAACTTTCAAAGTCAGCTCGACTCGACTCGAAAACTCGCGAGCTTAAAATTATCAAGCTCGACTCGAACTCGAAATATAATATTGAAACTCGACTCAAACTCGAAAAGGCTCGAACTCAAAAAAAATTTAAGAGCTCGATTAAAACTCGAGACTCGAGCTCGATTGAAGCTCGATTCAAACTTGACATTGCCCCAAGCGCAAAGATGCTTAAATCTATTATCCCCCATCTTCTTTTATATAAGTTACCAACCCCGAGTTGCTTGTTTGCTACTGATGTGAGATTGCATAACGTTCCTCCACTTTCTTTCTTCCTATCTCCTTCAACAATAGTTCGAGATGAACACAGATTGTGTTTCATGTGATTGTCAACCTTAATCCTTGGGGATCAAACAAACATGTCCTTAGCTTCGTGCTATGTAGAAGTTGAAAATTGGGAGATGAGAGAAGTAGGTTGGCTAAACTTCCATATTCGGATGGCGCACAAAATTTGTTTGATGAAACGCGTTAAAGAACTTCTCAACCTATGGAATAAGGCCTTACCATTATTGGGTTCTTGAGTTCAAAGTAAGTTGACTTGAGTTGTTGGTTGATCACTATTTACTTGTAAATTCGAATATTCCATTATAAATGAAAGAAAAGAAGATTATTTGACTAGAAGAAACGGTGCTTAATACTTAACATCCCTTCCGGAATCCATCACCTTTGGACTTGGTTTCGAAAGCAACCGATTTCTGGGACTCCTCTTTGCTCATCGGATAACCAGCTGGTGGCGCAGTCACATAGGGTTCCGATGCAGTGGATGTTGACGGTGCTGGGTATGCAGCTTATGGATTGTTCAAAAAGAACTAAATCATGTTAATATTGTTGGGTTTTCCAAATAAAATTGGGTTAATCAGATTAATTAATATTTTTAAGATACTTACAAATTGGTCACCAAAATTGATTTAAAAAGATTGGGTTAAACATAAATGAATGAACATAAACGAACATAACCGAACGAACATAATCGAACGTTCACAAACGTAAATGAACGAACGAGACATATGTTCATGTTCGTTCATTTAATTAAACGAACACAAAATCTTGTTCATGTTCGTTCATTTAATAAATAAACGCACATAAACGAACTTTTCGCCGCACGGTTCATGAATGGTTCGTTGAACGTTCAGTTCATTTACAGGCCTACTAACATTTGTAAACCATAATAGACATTCTCCGTTTTGTTCATTATTTGTCAACCATTTAATTTCTTTTGAACTTGCTTATAAAAGGTTTTGGTGAATTTGTGATTTGGTAAGAATTTTGTTTTCATTTGTTGTTCGACGAAAGAAATGGATCAAGTTGAGCTTCGTCGGGTATTTCAAATGTTTGATAGAAACAAAGATGGCATGATCACAAAAGAAGGGCTTAACGATTCGCTGGAGAATTTAGGTCTATTTATTTCTGACAAGGAAGTAAGCCAAATTATCGAAAGCATCGATGTGAATGGAGATGGTTTCGTGGATATTGACGAATTCAGCATTTTATACCAAATGATAACGAATGAGCACAATGAAGAAGAAGACATGATGGAAGCGTTTAACGTCTTCGATCAAAACAGAGATGGATTCATCACATTTGAAGAGTTGGCGTCGGTTTTATCATCGTTAGGGTTGAAGCAAGGAAAAGCTATTGCGGGTTGCAAGCAGATGATAACAAAGGTGGATGCAGATGGAGATGGTAGGGTTAATTTTATGGAGTTCAAGCAGATGATGAAAGGCGATGAATTTGCTGCCTTAAGATCAAGTTATTAATTGAAAAATACAAAAATATTATAGTGTATTCATATGTATATACGTGTGTATGTGTATATATATTGTAGGATGATTTCAAAGAAAAGGAAAGATGAGTGGAAGAAGGATTCTAATAACTTTTTATTGTAAGAGTTTGCAATGTTTACGTGCCAAAGAAAAAATTATATGATTTCAACTCCTCTAATCCTTGAAATATTTTGTTTGAACTTACAAAAAAGGTATTAGAAAATATTATCTGCTGGCCATTATGGAATAGAAGAAACATGTGGATTTTTGATGAAAGTATGTGGAAACTATCCCATTACTTGATAGCTTCTTGAATATGCATAAAGAAGTACGTAAGGTGACTGCAAATCCTGTTATTGTTGTAAAACCAACATCACACAATGATTTCATACCGTCAAATGGAAGAAACCTCCTATGTTGGGCTAGGGTAAATGTTGATGCATGGTGCGGTTAGAGAAAGAGATGGACCTGCAGCGTGTGGTGGAATTATTCGAAATGGTTGGGGTGAATGGATATCCTTGGTTTCTCGAGAAGTTTGGGAGTATGCTCACCATTTTAGGCTGAACTTTGGGCATTACATGATGAACTAAAGCACGTGTGGAGCTTGGGCTTTCGAAAGATAGAAGTCGAATTGGATAGCTTGGAGATTTGCGATCTTCTTAATCTTGATTCTCTGGCGTTGCAAGGAAATTTCATTGCAGATGCTATTCGTGTTCTCTTGTAGTATGCATGGGAGGTGAAGCTTTATCATGTTCGAAGGGAGAATAACCAAATTGTTGATACTATGGCGGCGATGAGTCGGGATCAACCTTTGAGAGAAGTCCTATTCGATGAAGCTCCAGATTTTCTCGTCAATCTGGTTTCACGAGATGCATTAGAAACTTAAAGTTCTCATATTATTTTGTATGATAAAAAAACAATAACTTCTCTCTCGTTCTTCTCTGTTTATGTTTTTGCCTTCTGTTATGATGCATTGTCTGCTACTCTGGTGACCAGAATTGTATTTTCTGTTATGATATCATTCGCCAAATGATCCTGATCCTTATGCCGCTGCTTTTCTCGCGTTTTCTTCCTCACCACTTTCATAATCTTCCACTTCTTGCAATTCATCTTCATCCTCCATAAGTCTATCTTCATCACATATTCCACCTCATATCACCCTACCTTCATCAGCTTCATCACATATTCCACCTCATATCACCCTACCTTCATCACCATCAATCTGTAATTCATCTTCACCTCATAATCCTTTTCCATTATCCATAAGTCTACCTGCATCACCTTCATCACATTTTCCATCTCACACTCTGCTCTCACCATCACCAATTCATAATCCATCATTATCATCCACTCACACTACTTCCTCATCATCCATATTATCATTCAGGTCCACTAAACCATCATATACCACATCGGTTCAAATACTCACTCAATGATAATAAGACGGAAAGCTGGCATTTTCAAACCAAAAGTTTATGCTACTGGAAGTGTGACAGAACCTTCAATTGTTTTTGAGGCACTTGAACATCCATAATGGCGCGAGGCCGTGTAAGCTGAATATTCAGCGATGATGCGAAATGGAACATGAGAGTTACACACACTGGCCCCCGCAAGGAAATCAGTTGGGTGCAAGTGCTTGTTCAAAATAAAGCGCAAATAGGATAACTCAATTGATCGGTTCAAAGCACGACTTGTTGTGAAAGAGTATTCTCGAACTGTATAGGATGTGATTTTCGGGAAACACACAGTCCAATAGTTCGTGCAACTACCATTCGAACTGTTTTTGCAGCAACAGTTCTTTAAGGATGGACTGTCAGGCAAATAGACATAAACAATGCTTTCTTAAATAGGGAGTTAGCTGAGGAAATCTATATGAGTCAGCCCTCGGGTTTGAACAGTACAATCCTCGTGCTGAAAATTTTGTTTTTCAACTAAAAAAACAATCTATGAGCTTCGACAAGCTCCAAGGGCATGATATACAACCTTGACTACCATGCTCACAACCAAGTTGAGATTTGTTGCTTCCAGGGTTGATTTTTCGTTGTTTATTTTTAACTCTAGAATGTTGTTATTAGTGTATGTTGATGATATCATCATCATCGGTGATAAAATAAATGATGTTAATAGAGTGGATGATCAAATAAATTTTCAATTTTCGTTGAAGGGTATGGGAAAGCTTGAGTTCTTCCTAGGAATGGAAATTCAACAGCATGGTGGGCTATTCATTAATCAAAGGAAATATGTTATAGAATTATTGACTAAGGCCAACATATCTAAATCTACTCCTACTCCAACACTTATGGTTGTAACTTTCAAACTTCAAGCTGGTGATGGGCGTGAATTTGGTGATGTCCATTTGTACAAAAGTATTGTAGGAGAGCTACAAGCCTACAATATGCAACCTTAACAAAACTACATATTGCTTACGCCGTAAACAAAGTTAGCCAATATATGAACAGTCCATATCAATCACATTGGAAGCTGTCAAGAGTATACTTCAGTATTACTATGGACCATTGGAGCATGGTCTCTTTTATCAAACCTCAAAACTGCCTAAGTTATACAGATTTCAACTGGGCTGCATGTATTGAAGATCATCGCTCAACATCTGATTATTTCATTTATCCTGGTAGAAATCCTATAGGGTGAAGTTCCAAGAAATAGAATGTGGTGACTGGGTCAACCTCTAAGGCTGAATATAGGAGTTTGGTTAATTTTATCTCTAAGTTGATACTGATAGAACAGTTGGTTGCTGAAATTGGGATGGGTTTAAAAGGAAAACTAATGGTTTGATGTGATAACTCGTCCACTGTCTCCATGGAAGCTAATTCCACTCATCATTCCTGGGTCAAGCATATTGAAATTGATGTTCATTTTGTTCGCAGAAGGATTTTAACAGGTCAATTTTTGGTCAACTTTGTCTCTTCAGCTGAACAAGTTGTTGATGTTCTCCCAAAATCAATCCCTCCGATACGGTTATTATCTCTTTATGTTTTTGCCTTCTGTCTGCTACTCTGGTGATCAGAGTTGTGTTTTCTATTAAAATGCTGATGCGAAGGCCTATTTTATTTATTTTTGTATAATATAAAATATATATAATGATCCTTTGACCATTCAACAACAGAATTTTTAAATTATTTATTATGAAAATAAATAAATAATATATGATATAATACCATTCCAATATAAGGCACTAAAATTGTTATATTGAAATCATTAAAATTTAGGATAAATTACGTATTTAGTACGTAAACTATCAATTTTGATATGTTTTAGTACCTAAACTTTTAAGTTTTTTAAATCCATGCCTAAAGTTAATTTTTGTGTCATTTTAGTATCATTGTTCAAAATTTAACGTTAAGTTTTGGAAAAAAAACTGAAAGTTTAGGTAACGGACCAAAATTGATAGTTTAAGTACTAAAATCATTATATTTTTAATAGTAATACACTAAAATGAAACAAAAATTAAACGTTTTAAAAAAAATTAAAACTTTAAGTACTAAAACGAACTACAATTGATAGTGTAGGTACTAAATTAGTAGTTTATCCTAAAATTTAATATATTAATGCATGTAGGAAGATCCATTGGCGGCGGAGGTAGGGTGGTTTTCGGAGTTGGTCCATTCCCAACCACAAAGGTTGTGGCCATCACATTGACAAGTGGTCGTCAATGTGGCAATGCACAAACCATACACATGTAGATTTTAGATGAATTGAAATAATATTTTTTAATAGAAAAGAGGCGTAGAGCCTTGAGCAATTACATCGAATTTGACATAAGGAGGGTCAACGATGTCCCTACCAACTGAAGAATGGAAGTGGGAGTGTGAGAGAACTTGCGCATCACATAGTTATGGGAAGGGCAAGTTTTGACATACCATCAGCAACCATATTACCTTCGTGGGGTACCCAAAGAAATTCAACATACTAGCTACAGCAACACATCAGCGAAATGGCTCGCACAAGAGGAAGCAAGTTACATCCAGCATTCAGTTTATTAAGAAGATGTATTGCCTGTAAACTATCCGATTGAAGCTACAACAATTTAGCACCACGATTCCATGCCTCCTATAATCCAATATAAATACCCCCGAGTTTAGCTTGGAGAGTGGTCACACCTATTGATTTGTGAAAACCAAAAAGCCATGCTCCATCAGTTGATCAGGCCACACCCCCAACTGAGCTAAAACATGTTCTAGTATCAACCGAAGCATCCGTATTGAGGCAAAACCAATGACTGGGAGGAGTGTTCCACATTATTGGCACTACATGACGAACCTTGGGAACGGTTGGGTGAGAAGCGACGTTAGCAACATGTGAAGACCATGAAAAACTCAAGTAAAGGACGTCCTCCATGCAGACCCGGCTATTATGGGGAGCCATTTCCTAAAAAGAAATATTATGGGGAGCCCGGGCCCCCGTTTTTTCATCTTGTAATTGTGCCCCTATTTTTCTATCTTTTTAAATTTTAAGATTTAATGTTATTTATTCGATTCTTCTAGTATATTTTTATATATTTTTAATTACTCACACACAATAAATAATTAAATATCCTATCCTATTTTAAAATAAATAGTTTCATATATAAATAAAATAATGTCTAGCACTGTGGAAGATCCGCTGGCGGCGGAGGCAAGGTTGTTTCCGGAGTTGGTCCGTTCTCAACCACGAAGGCAGTGGCCAGTCCTATCAGCAAGTGCGCGTCAAGGTGGCAATGCATAAACCATACACCTGCACATCTCAGATGAATTGAAACAAGAACAAGGCTTGAGTTCAATATCTTTCCGATGCTTTTTAAATAAGAATCTTTGACTGAAAATTAACCTGGATTATTGGCTACGAATCTGATGACAGCCCATCCTCCAACAGGTACGGCGATAGTGTTGCGCATTTGGGGGTCGAAAAGATTGAACTTGCTTGCATCTGTGGCTGGGTTGTAGTTCTCGAACCCTTGAGCCATTACATGGAAATCAAAGCCATGGATGTGCATCGGA